GAATTAAAATTTGTACGCAAAATTTGTGACTGATGGCAGGGCTGCATTAGAAAATCTTGAGATGGTGATAAATGTAAATAATGCTATGACATTAGGTGGGATGTGTCTTTTTTATTAGTTTGCTCTCTTTGTAATCTGTACTTCCTACTCTGTGACCTTTTAATATTTTTGGCAATGTCATTTGTGTCTGGTGTGAGCTTTTGCTGCTGTGAGACTCTGGCTGTGTCCAAATTCAGGGGCTAGGTCCTTCAAAGGACCCAGCCTACCTGGTCTAAGTAGGTCGGGTCTTTGGTCGACCGCAAATACTGGAAAAAAGTGGCTGTGAATTTAGACGGTCTATCCTTCTGCTTTATTCCTGTTCTTACCCCGGTGTTTGTCCTGTCACCTAAAATCTGGGATTATGCTAAACAGAAGCAAAATATATTGAAATTAGCAAAATAATAATATATTAGTATTAATAATATCACAAAACAACAAAATTAGCTTAAAGGCAATATTTGAAGTACTGATGGACCCGCCGTAGGTGCATGGTTATTTCACTGTACCAGCTCATTTGATTTCTGACAAGAATAATATTTAAAAATATGCCTAAACAAATGACAAAAGTATTAACAACACAACCACTTGAAACTTTTAGTTGTTACTCAGCCAGATTTTTTTAAAACTGTTCTCCTTTCTCTCGCTTCATCCACCATTACTAGCAGAAAAAAAATCTCCGGTCGACCCGCAAAGCAATATGGGATAGCATTGGGCGAGAAGGATCCATCAGACCCGTCCCTTAAATCGGGGAAAAAGGAGGTCACATTTGTCGGCCGTATCGGAGGACTCTTTGAATTTGGACAGCTTCAGGTGCGACACTGTGACGTAAACGACCAACAAATTTGGCCTTTGGTGAACCCAACCTAGGGACGCACGATATATCGGCATTAATAACGGGATCAGCTGATAATGGTCATTGTTTTTGAATATCGGTCTGATATGTAAAACTGGGTCGATATTAACGCCGATATTGATTTCCCACTTTTTATCTTTGTGCTTCTGTTTTGGGAGGGGAAATGGTTGGTCGAGTTGTATGTGTTTGATCATGATAGTGTTTGTGATGCTGTGCAGCCAGGAATAACTGAAGCAGAGCCATGTCAGAGGTCTGGTCGTTTATTTACGGTATCAAAAAAAGACCCAAGTGTGTTTTGTGTGTATATGTATAATATAATTTGTGTGTTTGTGTGTATATGTATAATATAATTTGTGTGTTTGTGTGTATATGTATAATATAATTTGTGTGTTTGTGTAATATCGGTTAATGTCGGTTATTAGCCATAACATCAATAATTATTTTGGATATCGATATTGGCTGAAATTTTCATAACAGTGCATCTCTAACACAGCCTCTGAGTTTGGACACAGCCACTGTCTAAATCGAAATTTTACAAGCACGTTAGTCAACAATTACTGCACTCCAGTCTTTTACAATATGAGTATTCTGCACACTAATGTTGCGATGATGACATATGTGTTATGTTATGCAGCACTAACTGGCGGCCAACTCTCCTTCCTATAGTAATCGTCTAAGTAATACTTTTTTCAAGTTTGTTTGAAATCTCAAAAGAATGTCAATATGGCACATTTTTGGTTAGGTTTTTATGTGTTTCCTGAAAAACTTGAAAATAATGACAGGTTTTAGGAGGTTTAGGAGGTTTTAATTTAGGAGATTGTTTACCTTCAAAACATCCAGAATTACAAAAATAGATCAAAAGTGGTGATGTTCGTTGAAGAAATGTTTGGGGAGAATAGTTGCATATTTGATGTATTTATACATATTTATTCTCAGGTAAAGCTTGCAGGTAAAAAAAAATGGTTGGACTGAAGCAAACTTTTGGTCTTCTTAGAAGTTTGGTAAACGTGTGTGTGTGTGTGTGTGTGTGTGTGTGTGTGTGTGTGTG